TAAAACAATACACAAATATGTTTGATTATTTTGTATTTCTTCTTCACCCCCAAGTAGGTACGATATTTGTACGAAATTTTGTAGGTATTAAATTGAAAATCAGTTTATCAATCGACAATCTACTCGGATGTTATATTGTACAAAAATCGTACGTCCTTCGCCGCTTGGCTATCGCATTTTTAAAATAAGCGTGGTCGGAGACCTCAGAAAAATCGATACGATTCGTGGCATTCGTCGATCGATCTACTCTCGCCTACAGGGGTCATAGCCCATAGGTATTATAATATCATTATAGACTATAGTATTATTATACTCGTTACATAATAATTATTGCTGTATCACGATGCGTTTTAAAAATCACTCTTGAATTCGGCGGTCATGAGTGCCTTCACGGCTTTGCAGTATTATACAGTATCACGATTTGTGTACACTTAACATTTTTTTAATCGCATTAATGCACATTCCTTGGTACCGCGCGAAGATAAATCTAGAGATGAGGACCTGTTTAGGCCTACGCGATCAACCGCTGCACGTGCAGTAAGCGAAGCACTCCAAGTAGGTATCCATTGTTTGTTCAACTTAATCGAAACGAATCTAACTTATTTGGTTCATTATTATATGCAATGACCGACACTATTTTGAGTTGGGTGCGTGTGTATGTATTATATATTTTTCTTGTAGCGTTTAAAAATACAATATTATAATATTGAATAGGTATACCTAGTGCAAACACACAAAATGCATTTTTCCTAGACTATAGTGTCGTGTATACTCGAATATAGCAGATAACGTAAGAAGTGTAATAAACTAGTCCTGAACCATACTGATCATGCATCAAGAATTGTAAAACTTAAGACGAGAGATATTTCAATAAAAGCTCTGGTTTCAACATACCTTCTATACTAGTAAAACTAAAAGTATCTGTAATTAGTTTACTTATTATGCTTCTAACAGAAGTAAAACATCTCTATTTACGCATACAATACTGTGAATACTGTAGTTTATATTATATTTATAGGTATAGGGCATTGGAGGATTTCAACAGTTTCTTCACACTTTTGTCAAACTCGAAGTCTATCATTATTGAATAAAAATCATGGTGCATCACCTTCGTAGCTAACGTATACGATCGTTCCGAATTGAATTATAATGCACGCACATGCCACACACACACATATGTGTACCTGCTGTATTGCTCAACAATACACGACCTATAATATACATCGTTGGTTACTTTTTACGTACTTGCGTACAATCACAATTGCAATATTTTTCCCATCGCGTGCTGTGGGAAATTGGTCCACGATAATTCACACATTGATTTAGCAACACAGTACCTAATCATTTGGCCAGAAAATTCTATTGGGTTTCCATGTGAGCTGCAATCATAAATCTGGTGTCGTGTAGATAATGAAGGTTAAACAAAGTGTGCGCACGGGGTTATATAAATATTTGAATATTCGACGATAGCAAACACACTTGATACTAAAATATTTTTAAATAAACATTTTATTGCTAATTAGTAATTAAAGTGGTTGAAATAGCTTTTTATAATTAAGATTTCATTTTTAAAGAAACATTATGAACTACGTAGATTAAACCTGTATAATGATTATCAATAATAGATTAGCGAAAATATCTATAGTACTTACGTATTTTTTTGTTTTTCATTATTTCATTCTAGAAACTAGATTCTTTCTTTTTTACATTTATTTTGACTTACCCAGTGTCAAAGGCACTTCACATTATTCCATTACCACACATACCACAACGTCATAATCATCTTTAACTAGCTCATAGCAACATTAATATAATTATTTTAGTGCCTGCTTAGTAGTATTGTAATAAGTATAAATAAATAATAAATAATAAATAATAACTAATCCGTACTAGTGTATTATTTTTTTTAAATATGGTGGTCGCACCATGTTTGTTTATCAAAACGAAAAAAGAATAATAATTTAAATAGAGCTATGTAGTAATATTCTAATTATACTTTTAAAATAATCGGGAAATATAAAAATAATTAAGGAAAAACGGCAATTTTTACGCAAAACAAGTTTTTAACAAAATCGGTTTTATAAGTTTTGTTTTTTTTTTTTTGGTGTAATTCAATAACGAATAACCGCAGATACTTAAAATTTTCACCAACTGTTTGCATAAACATTTTATTTACAAAGTTTAATTTTAAAAACATTTTCATTATTTTTATGCTATTTATAGACTTTTACATTTTTTTGGGTTTTTTCTTTAAATATCAATAAACATGATTTTTTTGCAATTGTTTTAGCCAAAAATTTTAAAAATTTAATTTATGATTCCTGATAATTGTTTCATGTGACGATGAAACTATAAGCGATTAAAGATAGAATTTTTCAAAATTTGTCAAAATCACGAAAATGTGCAAATTATTTTGAAATTAAAAATTTATAAAATGTTAATATTTTATAACTAAGGATTGAAAATGTATTAATTTTAAACAATAATAAGTAATAGACTATAGTATATATGGTTCGACGGGCAGACAACAGGGGTTTGTGGCATATGCATAGTGCGGATTTTCAGCCGAGTCGGTCATATTTTATGTTATCTAAGAGTACCTATACAACTTAAGTTACTTTACTGAAATAAAATTTTTAAAAAAAGCATACAATTATGAAAACTTATTAAAAATATAATGCAAACAAATAACAATATTGTACATCATATAAATCTTAAAGTATCATCATTTGTTATAGTTACACTGTTACCCCATAATCCGAATTACACCAAGCGGTATAAATTGTGAAAAACAAGAAGTACAACTCATTAGGCCAATAAATAGCTAACAATAATAAAAACTTGATATTTTCGTGCTTACAGAGTATTGGTGAACTCAAAAAGTCAAACTAATATTTGTGCATGTTGGATACATGGATATAGGTAATGATGAGACATGAGTGATGACTGATGAGTGATGACCATTGATTGAAGCACATTTAATCAATGTAATGACGTTTCATAAAAGTCCCGATACTGTTATGGGAAATTAGCAGCAAATCAGCTATAAAAGTATAAACATTTTAAATGCAAGAATAGGTATTAGGTATTACTTGTTTTTTGAAAAACAAAAATATTTAATCAGTCATTCATTATTAATACATTAATCAATATTTTTAATTTTTAATTATTTAAATGTTATTAATTAATGTTGACGTTATTCGATTGGACAAAAACATATGTTTATAACTGAAGGTAAAATTAAAAAATAAGGGCAATATTTGGTATACTGGCCCGTAAAATTAACCCAATTACTGGCACACTGACCTTAATAATATACAAATATTGTCTTCGGCGCAACTGGTGTGTGTCTGTCCAATATGGTCGATAGACGAGTGCGTAACGGGCAGGTAACACATTTTAATGCATAAATAATTCGTACTAGTCGTTATTAATTGAGACTCGAGAGTCACGACAAAGTCTCCCACGGTTCATAGGCTCGTAAACAATAAGCGGCATGGTGTTTATGCGTCTTTATAATATCGAATATCTATCCATAAAAGGTAAACTATGGTATGCGATCTAGCAGGTCATACCAATGGCGATCGATGGATATTTTTTTTAAGGATAAACAAACATCGATTGAGAGTCGATATATTATTGTTGTATATACGTTATACGTCACTTACGTATAATGTATGTATGAATGATAATTATTGGTGCGATTATAGGGGGTTGCACAGAGTAGTTTGGACTTTGGACTTGAACATTTATCCCAAGTTTGAAATGTGCACCCCACAAGAAATATAAGCTTCTTTTCTATTATATTTTGATTATTTCGAAGTAAATATTATAAAAAATGTTAAACTATACCTGTATTTCAATGTATTGAGGAATGTAATAGGTATTGTGATTCCATCTATAACATAACATGGTGAAATAATCTTTAGCATATTGTTTGTGGTACCTATGGAACAGGTCACAAATACGTAGTTATGTATGGCACAATAATCATAATTCATAATAATATTTTATTATATATTGACGAAATAGCTTTGAAGACAGGGTCGACTTTTTTCTTTATCTATGGCAGGATGTTAGTCGCTAGACGGCCTATAGACGTGAGCGTGTTAATACGTGCACCGCCGTGTAGAAATCGTGGTCAATATGACATATTAAGTATAATTGTAGAGATGTTTTGACTGGGTACAATGTAATGTCACGGCACTTATGCATTATTAATATTTATTATAATGCACACGAGATGTGTATAATATGATAAAATACGCCTTAATAAAAATGGTCGTAGGTTTCGAACCTGAAATCCAGAAGACGTGGCTGTTCCTATAATGTCACTACCATTTTCCGTCAACGGTTACCGAATTTCCGACCGGGCCAACGGTGAACGGTCAACAGGACGCGTTATCGCTATAGCGACAATAACGCGCAGCGACTACAATAAAAATGATATCATGCGCACACTACAATATCTGATCCCCATAATACAGAGGTATACATTTATAATGTACCTATACATGCAGCAGCGATGTCGGACTATACTCGAAGGCTTGTGCATATAGATAATATATATTTTTCCATAAAGAAACGTGTGTTGTAGCTTGCAGTGACTGTACATGTATCTAATATGATGTATAATAGGACGGTAATGACAATAATAGCACGGGCATGATATCGTGTATACGTCTGAGGGCGATGATGCAATCTGGGCGAGAGAGAACGAACCGTGAAGTAACAATGCCGGGGCCACGCGCTGGAAGAGACCGAAGCGCTGCGGCAGAGGTCAACCGGGGGCGACCGGTGAACGGCCCCGCGCGCGTGTTGGGAAATGTCCCTTGGACTGCTGCAGCTAAGTACACCGACATGGCGGAGGTGCACACAATATATATTGTATGCACGCCGCACAGTATATGCGTACATCACCCATCACCCCCACCCAGCCACGTCGTTTGCCGTTTTCGAGGCCTCGACGAGTCCGTATAAAATGGATATTGCTCGACCGATGTGGACCACACAAGTCCGACCGACCAGTGCGAGGTATACCAGAAGCACACGACATTGCGATAACCGTATCCCCGTATAACCACGGTGGTTTAGTATTCATATACATAGACACTCAAAGGGAAAACGGCGAGAACATGCAGCAGTTCTGGGTAAGTACGCGTCTTCAGCTTTACCGATATATTGCTAGTATTATAATATCATGTCTGTAAGCTCGGGATCTTAACAAATTATCAATTCACAAATGTGCAGCAAACAATTACCAGATAGGTACGCACAAAAAAAATATCAAACATGCATTAAACAAACATTTGAAATGTTTATTTTATACTTATACAAAATATTTATAATACCTATGATATATTTTTATGTAATTACATCCCTTTGTATAACAATATGTCAATGACGTCAGAATCTTTAATAAAAACGAATTAATAAGTCAATGGGACCCGGTGAAATGTGTTATACAAAAGAATGTGAAGATTTTCACTGGTAAAAGCACACAATATTTGAAAAATATATTTTATAATATTGTTTCAATATAAGAATTTCAGCTTTTGATTTAAATTTTAAGATTATTTGTTTTTTAATTCTTCAAAATAATTTTTAAAAAAGCACTAAAAATTAGGAAACTAAAAAATAGGTAAATATTGTGTTTTTATTTATTTTTTTTTTGGCTTAAGATATTCAAGATTTCGAAATTAAGAAATTTGGATTCAGGTTACTTGATACCCGATAAGATTTTTGTTTGACTATTATTTAACTAACTGTCAAAAAAAGATGTTCAAATGATAGAACCTAGACGTTGGTATATAGGTATTATTATTACAAACCATCAATAAAACCGTTATAGCTGCTACCTGTTACTACACTTTAATGCTAATAAGTAATAAGTAAAAACACATTAAATGCCTGTAGATTGGTTTTAGTTTTAGGTACTGAGCAGAGCTTTGAATGTAGGTATTAATTTTTTTTGATAGAAAACATCCTTCGATTTTTACATTTAGTATCTTTTCTGGTGCCGAAGTTAATCTAGTTGGTGCATTCGAGAGGTCAAAATTGAAAATTCTAAAATGTTTTTTAAAAATACACAAACATTTTGGAACACGGGAATTTTCAAGTAAAATTGGTTTTGGACAAAATTGATTTTACTTTTCGCCTTTCAGTGTAACTCAAAAACGAATAACAGTAAAAAAAAAAAATACTATAAACTTGAAATTTTATCAGAATGTCTATTTTGTTATTTTCTTCACATTTTAAAATTTTTTTAAATATTGTGATTCTTTCTAAGCCATTTATAAGCATAACAAAATTAAGAATTTTATTGGTTTTTAAAATTAATATCGATAAAATACTTTTTGCTAGGTTGAAATATTTAAAAATTGAATACAAGATTATTCATAACTTATTCTTATAGTGTAATTTAAGAAAAAGTTGATTACAATAATTTGTTATACTTGTCTAAAGTTAATGACAAAATTCGTCAAAATATATAAAAATGAAAATTATGCTGTGCTGTTGGTAGTTAGAGTTCATAAACATTTTTATTTTCATATCTAACATTTTAAAATTGAATAAACGATTTCTCATCGAACGATTTTCTTATTTTGTTTTAATTCAAAAAGAAATAACCACATATACTAAAAATGTACACCAAATATTTATATTATCCTTTTCCATACATATGGTATAATTTTAAATATACTTTCACTGTTTTTGAGCTATTTATAGACATTTTTTTCATTCGGTCGAAGAGCTTGACATTTTTATACACGGTTTTCAAAAGTTATTATAATAATTAATAGCAGTTGAAAAATATAAAATATACATAGAATCGTTTTTAGTAGCAGGTATACTTACAATAATTTTATATAAATTTAACACAATTATTTCATTTATACGAATTATAGTGACTCCCCTCTGGACTTCTGTTTATCGAATTTCGTAATAGCCTTCAGCATTAACTTTAATAATTCAATTTTATTAAATAGTTTTGAATATACACGCAGGTGCTGCAGGGGTCAACTGTTAGTATTTTATATTGTGGAGCATTAGAACAGTTGTATAACTATGAATAGTATTAATATTTTATCATATTGCATGAATTCGTGAAAAATGTTGTGATGGATTGTTTGTGTTGATTACTGTCGCAGATGTCGATGTTGTTGTTGGCGAGCGTATGCGCGGCCTTGGTCTGCGCCGACACCGTGAAGGCCGCCGCCGACGAGAAGCCCGCGGAAAAGAAGCAGGGCAAACGAGGCCTCTGGGGCTTGGGCTATGGGTATGGTGGCCACAGTGAGTGGGACGGTCTGTCCAACTACGGTCTTCTTGGTGCCGACCACAGCTATGGACACATCAGCTCTGTGCACGTCACCAAAGAGGTGCCAGTCATCGTCGACCGACCGATCATCGTTCCGGTCGAGAAACACGTGCCGTACCCAGTAGCCGTAGAGAAACCGGTGCCGTACCCCGTGCACATCGAGAAGCACGTCCCGGTGCCCGTCGACCGCCCAGTGCCATACCCGGTCAAGGTGCCGGTCAAGATCCCTGTGGCTCACCATGTGCCCTACCCAGTTTACGTGCAACAACACTTGCCGGTCTACGTCAAAGAACACCACGGGCATGGATACGGTACCTACGACTTCGGTCATGACCATGGTTTCGGTTACAGCAGCAGCTATGCGATCCACCATTGATAGCGCTTTTATACGCTGCATTATATTAATATTATAATTTATATCTTATATCATAAGCTTGCCCGCCCACGACGCCCTGTCGTCGTGTATCAGTAACCGTTTGTAATTAATTACCTTTTATACCAATTTGAATATGTACCTATAGTTTATATTTTATAATATAATACATCTTATGTTATAATTTTAATATTATGTTATTTTGTATAAACATCAAGATTGACTTCAGAGAGATTGATTTTTATTTGTAAGGGTTGAATAAAGTTCTCAGATGAAAGAAAATTATTGTAGATTTAAAAATTTTCTATAAGGCATTACTGTAATAGCTTTGGGTGCTGTCTGATGCTATCAGATTGTGTTCACTAAATAATTTGCAAATTCTCGTGACCTTGATGCATTTTGTCGACATTTTAACTTCAAATGCTTATGTACCTCTTTAATCTTGTCAAACTTACAAGGAACCTTGTATTAAATTTTCAAATCTTCAATTTAAGATCTAAATATACAATTTTTTATTTATATTTATAGAAAAAAAATTGAAAATTGAAAATGTCTATAAACAGCTCAAAATATTTTTAATTATACTGAGTATAGAGAATGATATTTACTATAGACATTTGCCGAACATTTCATGTAATTTTGGTTGTTCGTTTTTGTATTATATGGAAATCGTTCAATGACAAAGAGTGATAACTGATAATATCCAATGTCGTAAACATTTGAACTTTAAACACACGTAAACATTTAATTTGAATTTCCCGTTAACTTTTTATTTATGTAAAGGTGAGAAAACTTATGAATTTATGATCAATCATTCTAGCACCCCCGAGTTAATATGTAGCACCCCTTGTTTTTTATATCTAACTTTTTTATTTTATTGAAATATCATAAATTTTATGTTTAAATCATCGAAAATGTCCTAAAAAATGTATAATTATTTGGTCGTAAGTCATATGATATAATTCATTGTAATTCATTCCATATTCGGATATTCCTATAATTGTTGGACGATTAACGATAATGTATTCATTGCGGAGAAATATACTGTTTACGATCTATTTTTAGCCAATATGTAGTAGGTCGCATCAAAAAGCACTCCATAGTATTTTATACTATACCTACATATTATAAATTATCATTCAATTACAATGACATTTTCGAAAATACTATATAGGTTATACTATTCCGCTGGAGTAGGTACCTAATCAGTTTACACAAAAATATAAAAGGTTTTAAACTGTGCATGGAATAATTTTAGTTTATTGCATTATATAATATTAAAATATATTAACGTCTTGAAGACCTGGAATTTAACGCGCTCGCTTGCTAACTTGTTTAATTCCTTAGGACAATTTTTTAAATTTTTAAATTAATATTTAAATTAATAATCAATAATCAATAAGTTAATATTTCTATCCGACGTAAAAAAACAACAAAGGGACACGATAAAACGTGTGCCACAAAGCTATGGGACACGATAAGTGTTTGATATAAATTGTATACTTTCTAATCGTCATAACCTATCTGCTTGTCGCACTGAGCACATGTAATAATTTGGTATATTATTTACTGTCTGTATAACTTACTTTACTTTCGTAATTTACCCTTGTACCACAATTAGTCGTATCATCATGTCTGAAAATAGCTTTGAATCCCTTGAGATTAATGTGCAGTCCGAGAGTGATGCGCCAAATGTTCGCGGATCTGTTGTCGAACTCTTCGAAACTACGGGCGTATCGTCGTGGTCTCGCTGGTCCACGCAAGGCAGATGGTACTCCTGCCGGCGACGCGCCACTGGTCGAGATGCCTTCCGCGACCGACTTGATGCTGCTGACGTTCGAGGATCTCAGGAGAAATCGTCCAACTCTGACAAAGCACGGTCTGCCGGGTTCGCCGATGCAGCGAGATGTAGGATATTATTCCATGCCCAAATTGGTAGTGCTGGAGACTGGTTCCGAGGAGTCGAGTGTGTCAGCGAACCACGCACTGTCCTCCGACACTACGAATCCTGCAGTTGAACCGCTGGCGGACCGCACCCCAATCGAACTGGCGAGTCACACGAGTCCAACGTCCGGCTATTACGTAGGAGTTATGGCGCCTGCAGCCCTCGAAAAAGGTCCAGCGTCGTCTGCTTCGCCAGAGGTTCGACCGGCGCCGGAACCTCGCGATGTCGCGTATACGAGGCCCCGTCGTCGAGCGATTTCAATGCCGAATATGGCTGTGCTGCAGTTCGGTACTGTAGAGTCCCACAAGCGGATCGATGAATGCGGTCGAGTTCATAGATGGCTCACCGAAATTGGCTGTCGACGAGACGACAAATTTCAAGGATCCGGAAACCGGCGACGGTTGACAGCGATGGTGCAGCAAATGATCAGACGATAGCCAGCGCGGTAATACCTAGACGACGCCGTTCGTTTTGGTGCCGTACTAAGAGGTTCGTCAGCCTAATGTTTTTCTGTGGCTGTATGCCCTGCCACGGTTAAAGGTTGTATCATTAATCGTGATACAGCCCAATGCAGCCCATAATATTGTATAGCTATAATTGGGTGTATCAAATTTCATTTTCATTTAAAATCCATAAATACAATTTAATGTAACCCATTATGTACTTATTTATAAACCAAATCTTGACCTAACATAATTATAAAAATAAATAAATATAATACATTTTTAATGTATTCCTGACAGAGATATATGAATTATTTAAAATAAGTAAAATTAATCGTGGATTATCAATTAAAAAACAGGTTCCTCTAATGAGACTAAATTACCACCAAATGTTTTAAACAGGGCTTGCATTTGAAAAATAAATTTTGTTTTACGTTATTTACAATCAAAACGTTATTCAACTTTTGTGTTTATCGTTATTCAGAATTAAAACGTTATACAATTTTTGCGTTTATCGTTATTCATAATTAAAACGTTATACAATTTTTGCGTTTATCGTTATTTAAAATTTAAAAGTATACGACTATGAACTTTTTTTGGGGACATAATTTCCCTATTCTGAGTTTTAAGTAGGTATTGTTTAATTTTATTTATTTAATTAAATGGGTTAAACTAATATAAAGAAAACGTATGCACGTTAAAACTATAAGTATATTAGTATAAAATATAAATATTAAACATTTGACAACAATTAGACAAACACTGACGAGTGAATAAATCTGAGCAAACTGAACACCGAACACAATAGTTGAATAACTTGAGTGGTATAAATTTCGACCGTAGTACAGATAGTACAGTACAATATTATCAGAGCATCACTATTATTAGCTATTGGTAATTAAATTATTCTATTAATAACTTCTTATTAAGTTTTAAAATAATATCTAATACGGGATCTCCCGGATAGGCCGGATACGGAATAAAATTAATTCTTGGATTGAATAAATAATTGAATACTACTAAGTATTATTAAATAATTGGGAATTAATTATTTCGTTTAATGGAATACAATATAATATACTGTTTTGCGTTATGTTTTGTTTAATGATACATCATATATTTTGTTAAACGTTACGTTTTGTTTTGTGTTATTTATTTATTTACGTTTACCGTTTTCCGTTATAATTACGTTTACAAATTTCAATCGTTTTTTATCAAGTATAACGTTATTATAACGTTTGCAAGCCCTGGTTTTAAATATAAAGAACATAAATTATAATTTTAGTCAATTAACTAGCCCCATCGGAAACTCGCTGTCGTGAAACTCGGGGACATGTGCAATTCGGTGATGGTGACGACAATGTCGTTGAAATGACTTATAAAAGTTTAGGTCTAAGGTTGTATGTTTTAAATGCTGCACCTGAATATTTTCAAAACAACAATTTATAAATTTCTGATCCATAGAGTGACTAAAAGTAACTTTTGGAAGAATTTTACTACCAGAAAAGAATCTATATGCAAAAAAAAATTCATTGTAAAACTAACAGATCAAATCCTCTGCTTTACCCCTTTCTTCAATGTATCTACGTATAAAGATACAGGCACACCGATATAGGTGCTTAGATACATGCTGTTTCCCTTATGATGGTAAGTCTTTTACTTCCGTTTCATCCGCTCCGATCAATAATTATAAAGGAAATGAGTAGAATATAGAAGGAGCCGTCAACCAGAATAAAAGGACTACCTACCGTTGTATATTTTATTTTCGAGATTTGTTAATTATATATTTTTAAGTGAATATTAAATATTTTATGTATAATTATAACTTATAAGCATAAGGCGACGAAAGTAAGTATAATTATAAATGGCAATCTATGAGGTCATCCAGATTATACTTTCGGTTGACACACTTGACATTCGAGTATTTAACATACAAAATTCGTAACGATAAAAATCAATTTCACTGGTATCCAACATTGTTTGTAGAAAAAGGTCTTCATTTGACTTAATACAACTACATTATAAGCACCTACACCTATACAAATTGATTAAAATTGTACCACCTCTTTTTTTTAGGTCTATAAATTAAAATTAAAATTAATATAAATAATGATTTATTCAAAATGTAAAATCTTAAAATATAAATATGCATATATAATATAAATATACATGTATAATATAATATAATATAATATACATATTTATATTTATATAAAAATTAATGAGTAGGTAGATTAAAAAAAATTACTTATGTGCAAAAATATTGAATAATAAATACCAATCATTGACCATTCTACTTGCACCTATTAATATAATTTAATATTAAATAGCACATAATTATATGGTTTATTCAAAATGTCTATAACTGAAAAACATACATAATATAATATTATTAGATAAACGCACCAAGTAAAATCAATAAAAAAATGCCACCATCGGGTTCAATAATAAGTGTAAATATTAATTGCATAAACTAAAATGCCTAAAATAAAGCTAGGTTAGTTGGTAGTAGGTACCTATGTAAAAAATTCAAAATGAAATGTAATATATTCAATTTTTTGGTATGTAAGTCCGTAGCTTGATTTCACTTGTTATGATTTTTAAATAAAATTAATCAGTATTCAAAACGACTAACAGCAGATTAATATGAAGAAGAATATTAGCCTTCACTTTTCATATTTACCTTTAAAGTCAAGAATAATATAAGTTGTAATACACTTCAAGCCATTATAATTTATTATCTTAAAATAAAATAAATTGTGAAGGTCATAACTATTTTCTATTTTAATTCAACGAATTTTTTTATTAAATCTCGTTAACAGTTACGCTTTCACTAAACACGCACACTTCAAAACGATAATGCCTCCTGTGGCTACGTTTAAAAAGTCGTCTGCGGCGCGTTGTGGCGCGATGTTCGGCTTCAATCACAAATGTGCTCTGACTGCCAGCGTCAGCCAGCTATAGTTAGCCATAGTAAACTATATAGTTCTTAGCCAAATCCTCGCCACAAATTCACGTGTTCCAAACCAACCGTACCCTCCAAACAGTTGAAAAAATTACTAAAAAAACCAAGCAATATGTTGTCGATAGTTGATTGATGAAAAAAAAGACATCTGAATCATCAAATTTATTAATTAATGACTTTTACCTATAATATACTATACTATTACCTATACCATAATCGGTAACTTAATACGATGAGAAAATTATAAAAGGATGTACTAATGGTTTATTTTGTTTTTTATTGGTTGATATACAAAAGACATGTGTCAAAAATATCGAATAAACTAATTTATTACCCAAATCGTTTACACAATGTATGTCCGTGTATAGTTGCTTTAAATTGTTTAATATTTAAGAGGTTAATACAAATTTGTAAAAAAAATACACTACATTATTGATATACTGGGCGATTTACCAAGACGCTACTCGTATTTTAAATTCTTCCTTAGAATTTTAATAATTTATCAATTCAAATTCTGACTTTTGAAATTTGTAATTATACAAACATTTAAAATGGTTTTTTGAAACCATTTAACGTGTGTCTCAATTAAGATTTCACATTTTTACTGATTATTATTAATCACAATGACTTTTTTTGAAAATATTGATGTCTCTATCTACATTTAATTCGAACGAGTAGTTTCTAAGGATTTAATATATCAATGATAATGGAAAGAAAATATGGGTTCTATAGTGATTTGAATATTTTATAATAAATTAGTAAATATGGTTTAAGTATAATAAATACTACATCTAAGATTAAATCTTTTTTATATTTGTGTGAGCCCATTTTTTGTATAAAAATTTAAATAACTCAGAAACTACTAGTTCGAATTTTGTTTTAGACTTTTACTAATACCAACATTTTCAAAAGAAAATATTTACTTAAAATTGTATAGTTTCCAATGATGCTTCTTATAAGAAAAAATGAAGTTATCACCACCGGGCTCTCCTTATAAGTGGTATAAAAATCTAAATGATTGAAATTATGGCAATTTAACAAACTTACAAATTTCAAAAATTAGAATTGTAATAAGTTTATTACTAAAGGGAAAATGTATAACACACACACCTAGATTTAGTTTCTCGTCTCTCAAAAGATGGGCACACAGAAATATATTAAACAATTATTTAGCTTATATTATAAGTTAATATATATTTTTATAGGATTTAAATTAGATGAAATCAATTACCAAGAAAAACAGTATTGCATTTAGGTAGGTAAGTAACATGGCTGGCACAGCGGAAGCATTGCACTTATCTAATATCTAACAAGCTTTGAAAATAGTATGTTTAAAATAGTAATAAGTAATAAATTCCATCAATGTTATTGAACATTTTAATTTAATTTACTTTAACGGTTTTCATAATTTGAGACAATTTAACTACAAAAAATTATTTTTACTTGTTTTTAATTAGGTATTATTTTTTTTTTAACTAGAAACCAATACCTTCTTTGAAATCAATAACAAATACGAATAATGTCAACTTTCAAAATAAAACCGTGAATCATTTAAGACAGAAAAATGTGGAGTGTCCCAGCAGTCTCATGTTTGGAGATGAACTGGGAGATAAAGTTAAAGTGGTTTTTAAAATTTCTACAAAACGAATCAATATAATATTACATAATTTGTTATAATACAATGCTAAAAATAAGTAAAATCTAGTATCATATGTAATATATTCTTGGGAATCCTTGAGATTGCATAATGGGGAAACAACTTCGCCGATATCCTTGCCGAATAGGAGCGAATAAGACGACAACCTGCACCGCAAACTAGTATGATGGTTAATACTAAAATATAATACCCATTAGCTACCACCAAATACCGTTGATTATAATTACTAACATATAAATACTTATAAATTTTAATAAATTAATAATTATAAATCTAATACCCAATAGTTATTACGAAAACAACAGTTATATAGTTATATAGACGCTAGTATAGTGTTTAATGATGACTGATGATCACATTAGGATTAGGCAATAGGTAGGGACCTATAAAATAGAATAATATAATGTGGACTATCAGCGATATATTTTAAGTTATAATAGGTATGTGTAATGTGTAAAACATGGACCACCAAAAAAATTGCTTGCACGAATGAATACCATATTTATATTATTCATAAGACTCGCCACTCGCGATTATCAGAATATAATGTACTTACCTATTTTATATTAACTGCTTTATCACATAACGTGAAATCGAAATACTATTATATGCCATTCTTGATGCTGTCGGTGTGAATGAAACAACTTAAAAAGAGATACGACTGGTGAATGCCGCATGGGTTATAGCATGTGACGGAGTTTAAAAAAAATGTAAACTCAAAGATAAATATTTTTACTTGGAAACGGAGTTCTGATAGTTTTTGTTAGTATACCTAACAATTTGAATATTAAACAACATTAATATGAAATATGAATAAATAATGCAAAAAATATTCTATATTCTATAAATACGTTGAGTACCTATCTAGATATTTTTAAGAGATGAGATAATGCATATACGTTTTGGATATACGTTACCTAACCTAACCATATTATAGGAACTCATACACACAACTACGACCCCTACCAATTTCTCTGTATTATATCTTTCTATAAATAAAAATCATCATATTTAGAATAAGACTGCAGACACAAGAATATATATAACAAATTGCACCTTACAATGTATTTATTTAGGTAGGTATAAGATAATTTAGGTATACCTAGGCAAAAACAGTTCCAAGTTTCTGAAACACCATATACCTGTACCGTTGGGGTTTAACTAGGTACTTCTGATTAAAAAAAAAATATTGATGTACCCACGACCTTGTTACAAAATGAAAACATATTTTGTTACTAACTCTATTTAACTTGGTTTTATACTGGGTAAAAGGTAGTATACTATGGACTAAGTATGTATGTAAATAGATTTATAAGTTTTAGGTGTCCTATAAATTTAGGAATAGTAAAAATTAAGCTGCAAGAGCATGCCCGTGGGACTTTAAGCATTCAATTAAAATATACTATACTATGCACTTTATAGTTTATATACCTACAATCTATATCCATCGAACATGGCAACTGTAACATTCAAGTATTGAAAGAAAAGTAAAAACAATCGCATTATATCTAGGTACCTAGTACCTACCTACCGTTAAATTAAATTATTTTATTTAAGATACAACTTTAAATGTCTATAAATAGCTCTAAAATAGACGAAATATTATGAACATTTGATCATGTATCGAAAATGATAAAATAAGACTTTGGTAAGACTTTCAAATATTTAAAACATTAGTCTGTTAATTATTGCAATAAAACAATATCATTTTTTTTCAAAAACCGGTTTTGCGTGAAAAGTCTCATATTATTTAATTTATTTTGTTTTTCCCAATCATTAAGAAAAGTACTTACTGACAACGTTTTACTTTCGAACCCCCTTAATACCAATTAAATAAAATTTGCTATTAAAAATCACATTCAAAGTTATAAGCCTAAACATTTTAACTGCTCCAAAAGGTGATAAAAATACACACAAATAATAAAATCAATACATTCATCAGTCAATAGTTTATTTGTTACAATAAATATATTTTTTTGTTTGCATAGTCAATTGATATATATATATACACACATATTATATATATATTTAGGTATATAGTATAGTTTGTATGTATAGGCTACTATATAATATTAGAGTAGGTAGGCTTACCTCGTAATGTATCAATTTGAAAAAATATAAAACTAAGAAAATATTCGATAAAAATATAAAGTAGGTATATTATATTTACTGAATATTATTTTGTTATTGAATTTCGAGTAGGTATAAAACGAAAAGGAATAGGTGACTGAGGAAGTCAAAATGTTTAAGTAAAAATAAATTTTAAGTCTTTCCCAGTGTAGCTTGTTGAAGTTTCAGCTTTTAAAGTAAGTATACCTACCACCTAGTACCTACCTACCTACAACCTATCTACATTAAATTAATAATTAAGTAAAATATAATGCATTTCACCAATATTTAAATCACTGATTCTAGTTGAATGATACATTGTTACTGCGTCCTATAGAAATCATATATTGTGATAACTGATAACTATTAAGTAAAAGTAACATTGTTAATATTACATTTTTAAGCTGTTGAAATTGTGTTAATTTTACTTACATATTTGTAAAAAACTGTCTATGTATATCACGCGTTGACATATCACGTCGTATGAGTTTATACGAGTCCACTCTCTAGTTTTTATATAATATGTTTATGTCTAAGTCAACATACCGGAAACACAAATTACAAAATATATGATTCTTTTGCCGTATGTACCTATACTTGTATTTTTCCGACCGGAATCACTAGAACTTGATTGTTTCGACTATAGAGATAAAACGCTAGAAATCGTCGACTATTATACGATATATCTGTGTAATAAAACAACAATATATAGGAACTAATAAGTAATAACAACAATATGGATTCAAATAGTTGAATTAGGGGAACTATGACGATATCAATATTTTTATATAGGTTAAAACTTAAAATATAGGTATACAATGATTATATTTTAAAACCGTATAACAATAAATTACCAGTCAATTTATTTGGCTTAGATACCTATACTTAAAATTAAGTATGATTTTGGTATGCATTATTGACATTATTGTATTATAATCCTACTATAAAATATACATTTATATAATTTTTCTATTATAAGATTCCTATATAATAAATAATAATTAATAAAACATTAAAATGTAGGTATACATTAGATTAAATTTGGACTTGTATTTAGATTCTTACAAGTTGTATAAATACGTTTTGTGTGATAATATTTTATTTTAAGCAGGGTAGCTCATGTACAATTTGTAGGGTACATAATACGTTTTTACATAGTTACAGCTATATTCAATGAGGTATATGAGAGGATTAGGTGACTAACATCACACATTTTTATTTGATTTTCGTGTTTACAAATATATAAAATTAAAATAATATTTATGTATCTATTATTTATATTTTTAACTTTGGGGTTCAATATTTAAAAGATTCAAATTAGAAATAGACACATTAAAGTTGGAATGTTTTATTTTACAGAACTTTCAGTTTGGTTTTTTTTACTTCAACATAAATTAATTTAAAGATATACTGTAGATAAATCTTTGAGCTATATACAATTACATTACCTATATCACATATATACATATAGCATTGATTAAACATACTCCGTACGTAAAATTAATAAAAAAAGTATTATTATTGGTAATACAAATTACAGTTTTTGAATTATTTATATACTTACCTATGTATAATTTAAATATTTATTAAATATGTGTATTATAATAAATCTGTAATAATTTTATTAAATGACTTAAAATATGTTAGTCAACTTCATAAGTATTCTAAAGAACATTCTGCAATGATTTAATTTAAGTTTACATATGAACAAACCTATTTGTTATTGTAAATGTATAAAAAAAAAAAATAGGTTAATTGAAAATATGATAGATTTAAGTGCACTTTAGTTTAATAATTACTGTTTATATATAACCAATATAGGTTCCAAAATATTTTAATTTTCTTATTTACTATGTACAGAGTGATTCCTTTAAATCCAGACACTCATTTATAGAAAAGTATTAACGTTTTTGGAAATATAACTTTTAGATACCTAGGTTAGTTAGTACAAAACATCATATTTTTTACTATTGTTATTGCAGTTATAATTTTTTAAGTTTTCACTTTAACAGCATACATTATTAATTTTATATTCCAAAGCAAAAAAATTGGTCTGAGAATTTCAATATAGATACCTGGTTTATATAAAAATAAAATTTTTAATTAATAATAAATTGAAATGGAGTAAAAAAATATTTCCAAAAATGTAAATAAGTACGTCAGAAAGGAAACGAGTATTTAACTTTAAATTTCATAAGAATCACCTATATAATCGAATTTAGTATTAATAAAAATTAAACTAAAATCTTTGTATTAGGGATTCAGGCAATTCTTTCGAATTTAGCTATCTCTATAATAGTCATTAATTATTAACTAATTCGCATGGTATTGTATCAATTTTAACAAACGTATATTTTGCTCAGCGTATAACATTAAAACGTCCGAACATACTAATTTTATATACACGTAGGAGATATAACATAAGTGAATTTCCGATTTACTAGGTTTGAAAAAAAATAAATGTGAAATTGTTGCCAAACTCGTCGGACAGATATGAAGGTGGGTACTGAATACGTATGCATTATACCTACGAATATCTCTCCATTGAAACAAATCGGTTACACAATTTCGGATACAGCCGGGTGACATCTTCGAAATGCGATGGCTATAATCGCGAAAACTGGTCCTGTTCTAAACTGACCACCCCACCATGACGTAATTGTAATGTGTGTGTATACATTATTCCTGTCGCGGAGAAAGTGTCATTTGGCGATTACGGCCGATTAACTGAGTCAGAGGGGAGTGTGAAGCAAAAGAAAAAACAATACCGGTATCTCAGCAGGATTATAAAAACCCCAGAGAGCCAGTGTTTGGCATCAGTTGTATCAGTGGAAATCATACCGATACCATCATAACCATCATCATGAAATTCTTCAAGGTAAGTCGTGCACTGAGCAAAATAACTTAGTAAAACAGAAACGTTTTTATTAGATTTACAATTCCAATTATTCCGCCGTTGATAGTTTAATATATTTTTTGTTTTTGATACATCGATTCGTAATTCGTTTGGTTTTTGAGAATCATTATTCATTGCTATCAACTAATTTTTTTTTAATATTTTTTTTCTTAGGCTTGTGTTGTCGGTTTGGCTTTAATAGCTCACTGTGTCGCCGCTGAGGATGCAAAGACCGATAACAAACAGACCAACAAGAGAAGCGTAGGCCTTTCAGGATCGTCGTACGGACTCTCCGGCTTGTCCGGATACTCCGGATCGTCATCATACGGATACGGCTCCGGTCTGCCTTCATACTCACCAGGCATCGGTCTCGCCGCCCCAATCAGTCACGGATACTCTGCCCCCATCAGTCACGCATACGCCGCTCCATCTAGTTACGGATACGCCGCCCCAGCTAGCCTCGGATACTCTTCCTTCGCTGGTCACGGTTACTCTGCCCCGATTGGTCTCGGGTACGGTTCCTCCGCTGGACTAGGATACGCTTCCTCAGCTGGACTCGGATACGCTTCCTCAGCTGGACTCGGATACTCCGCCCCGATTGGTCTTGGTTACGCCGCCTCTTCCGGTTATGGAATAGCTGCCCCGTCTTACGGTTACGGTATCTCAGCTGCTTCCGCTGTGCCGACTAGAGTCAGCACTTCCAACCAAATTGTGTCCGTGTCCGTACCACAGCCATACGCCGTTCCAGTAACCCGTCACGTGCCCGTATCGGTAGCACAACCCGTGCCAGTGTCCGTACCCAGAGCAGTCCCGGTCAGCGTACCTCACCCAGTGCCCGTCACTGTCAACAGACCATACCCAGTCGATGTTCCAAGGGCTGTCCCAGTCAGCGTGCCCCACCCAGTTCCAGTCTCCGTTAGCAGACCAGTGCCATACCCAGTTCCACAGCCATACCCAGTAGAAGTCCAACAAGCTGTCCCATACTCCGTCCCGACCCCAGTCATCGCTCCAGCTCCGGTCTCATACGCCGTCTCTGCTCCAGCCCCAGCCATCAGCTACGCCTCCGCACCAGCTTACGCTTCAGAATCTTACGCCGCACCAGCAGCTAACATCGCCTTGAGCGCACCAGCTTACGCACCATCTTACAGCGCTGCCGCCCCATCTTACTCATCTGGTTCGTACAGCGCCGCCGTCCCATCTTACTCATCTGGTTCGTACAGTGCCGCCGCACCGTCTTACTCTTCAGCATCGTACAGTGCCGCCGCACCGTCTTACTCTTCAGCATCATACAGTGCCGCCGCACCGTCTTACTCTTCCGCATCTTACAGCGCCGCCGCACCATCATACTCTTCCGCATCTTACAGCGCACCCGCTCCATCATACTCTTCCGCATCTTACAGCGCACCAGCTCCATCATACTCTTCCGCATCTTACAGCGCACCTGCTCCATCATACTCATTGGCTTCTGCGGGTTCGTCCGACTACTCCAGTGTCCAGTCCGGTAGCGAATACAGCTCGTCGTCCGGCATCAGTTCCTCATATGGATCACCGTCGTCAAGCTATTCAGGCAGCAGCGAGTACAAGAAGTATTAAATGGACCACTATCTTCGATTTGTGCCATGGCGCACGGAACTGTATTAGTTAGATGTTCTTAATAATTTAATACTCTGTTTTACATATTATAATATATGTATACTACTTGTTAATGTTTTGTACTCTCACAACTTTTCATATTTGTTATGTTAGTTTGAATTCATCGTGTCGTTTTTTAAATAAAAAATAATTATTATGACTGAAATTTACTTCAATATTATGAATTTTCAATACCTATCTACCCATTATCATGCTGCGATAGTAAAATATAAATGCTGATAACATTAAATACCTATATTATCTAAATACATAGGTATAAATAATATATTACCTAATTAAATAATAAGAAGGTTTAAAGGTAGAAATATTTCATTTTCCTATTGCACCAGTGTCATAAAACAATATTTTAATTGTTAAAAATGCAAAATTGGTGTTTATTTTGATGAGAATGAAATTATTAGTAACAAAATTGAGAATTTGTTGAAAGATTTTCCTCTCATCACAATATAGCATGAATACCTATAAGTATTATGATTATAAGTATAAAAATAATAATTTTACAAGCTAAAACATAATACTATGAATTATTTTGATATATTTTATAATATATATTACAGGATTTTAAATAGGGTTCTGTGGTAAAACATTGTTGTATAAATTGAACAGTTTATTTACAAAAATATATAATTTAAATACTAAATTAACAATATTATATAAATGTATTGGTTTGTCTATAAAGAAGGTATGCCATGACATTTTTGATTGCATTTTTTATGCATTCATCAACAGTTGTAAATAAAATAGTTTAAATATTTAACAATAAATAAACAGTTTGTAAAACAAAATTAGTTTAATACAATTTCAAGTACCTAATAACAAATAAGTAAATAAAACAATTTCTAATATTATTTAACATGTTTCTTAAATATTATTCATGAATAACATTTTTAATTAGATCATTGGTTTTATAATTCACAATATTTACTACTTACATTAATAAATGGCAGCTAGTTTCATATTATCAACAGTAGTTTAATGGACTTCAACAATGATTGTGTACGTGATATGGTTACAAACCTGCAGTGATTAATTATAGATTTGTATTGTTTCAATCATGAAAAATATCATTTTTTTAAATTATAGTTGCTCTGTTATATAACCAATGACATGTGTATTGAATATTATAAGAAAAAAATGGTACATAAATATTTTGGGAAATTTTGTGGAACTTGAATAAGGATTTAAACATATTTTACTACTGAAATCGATACCACTTCTATTATTACTTGCACCCATTGCTTCTTTACCTGCACCCAATTATTGTACATCAAATGCACATCAATATTCTGAAAAATAGAAGGAGATAAATAAAAATATAATATAATACATAATGTTCATGGATAATGAATAATTTAAGGTTTTTAAGTTTAAAAATAATAAAAATACATACATTTACATTTTTACTAAAAAAAAAAAATACAAATATACTTCTAGTTAGAGTAAAAATGAATAAAAAATGAACTGTATTCATTTCAATTAGGCACATTATAGTCATAGTTAAAATGTAAATATACATATAGTTTGAGTAGAAATGAATACAAAATAATTGTATATAAATCAATTAATTAAGCACTAAAAATAATATTATAAATCAATAATATCCCATTATTTTTACTAAATGAATCTTGTTTATTTCACCGGTGGTACACTTAACAATTTTTGACGTACACTATATTACTACAGTACAAGTCAAAACATAAATACATATACAATATTTAAACATTTTAATTTACAGTTATGTACATTTTAAGATTAAGGTTAGAAAACAACTTGAGCATTTGGGTATACTCCTTTTTTCAGTTCTGTTGTTAAATAGTATTGATGCGCTAATGATGTACAACCTTTTAAACGGTTGATGTGCAAATGGTGTATAGACAAAAAATCCAGTGACGCTCAACCGTCTTACAAAACAGGTCAAAATTAATAATAGTGATGCTTAAACGACAATTGGCAAATTATAGACCACAGCAGTCTTATCAAATTTAACAGTCTCTACATTTCTATGATCGATATCAAGTTCACAGAATGGTAAAATAATCAACTGTAAATAGATTTATACAATGGATTATCAATTAATTTTAAAATAATTGAAATTTCACATAAATTATAACTTTTGTTTTTTTTCTTTAAGAAGTATTAAAAACAACAATTTATAGGAAATAATAAACAGAGGCAGTTACGAAGTATTATAATTATTGGTTTAAGACACTTCAACCCAGTGGCGTAGCCAGGGGGGAGGCTGAGAGGGCTGCAGCCCCCCCCCCCCCCCCCGAAATGTTAATATAATATAAAAATTATTTTAATGGTCTATGGTATTCGATCAAAAACTAAAAAAGTGTAAAAAATTGATCAGCCCCCCCCCGAAAAAAAATCCTGGCTACGCCACTGCTTCAACCTAATCTTTTCAGTAGTTCAGTTTAATTTTATAAAAGTAACTGCTAACTGATAATTGAATGATTTTTAATCACTATCATCAATGATTACTTTATTGAAAATTAAAATTACACTTAGCTATCAGCAAATACCCAACAAATCACCCACGCCATAATAATACGGCACCAATAGTTGTACACTTAAACGGCCTCTGATAAACTTTGTCCCACAAGAGAACATGCTAAATCTGGGCAAGTAGAATGAGCATGGAAACCAACAGTTTTTTTAAACAATTTAGTATGACATAATTATAATTTGAGATTGTATCTACTTTAAGTCTTATAACACTTTGTAAACAAATAAATATGAGTTAATAAAATTAAATAAGACTAAATTTACTAAAATATTTAGAACAACTTTTATTAATTAATAATATTAAAATTACCTAATCAAAGTTCCTTTTCAATTTAACTTTGCTGTGTATAACAATTTATGCAGCATTTGCTTTGTCAGATGTCTGCTGATTCATCAAATTCCAATAGAAACCTTTCTTTTTCAATAAGGTATTATGGTCCCCAACCTAAGAATATAAATATTATTATTAATTAGTTTAATAAAAAATATTTATTAATAACACTTTTCAATAGGAAACAACCTTAAGGTTGTTGAAAGCGGACCATTTTTAAGAGAACATTGTACCTGCATGTGTTATCTCTGTCTTACACACGTACAATATAACAAATTTTCGTTCACCAGATTCAATAGTACTTTGATAGTTTTGATATTAAAGTGAATTAACTTATTATAAAATTTAAAGGTAAGATTATTATCTAGGGCCCTAGGTAGGCTTTTATTCATATTATTATTGCCTTTAAGTAAATGATGACCTTTTTGAAACTGTACATTTTAAAATGATCATAACAAATTTTCAAAATTATAAGTGGACTTCTGGGAGAATATATTTTTTTCTGCTTATTGGTCCTAATGCATGAAAAAAACAACAAAATGAAGATCCGCTTTCAACAGCCTTAAAGCAAATTATATAATATTTATAGACATCTAAGCTTAAAGTCATTAAATGAATAATTGCACTTGTTTGAGTAAAGAATACAATTTTATTTGACATATAAACCTTGAGGATTATCATAAAACTAATTTTCCATATCTATACATTTTAAGGGGATTGTCTATCTTTGTCAAACACACGTAGAACATAGGAATTTAGATGTGTTTTCATTCCAATAAACCGATTGATCTACTGAAGCAATACAAATTCCAAAAATAGATTTGAATTTGTTGTCACGTCTACTTCAGATCAACTTTCCCACATTTTTGATTATATTTCCCTTAATCCTAAAAAGAATTGTGATAAAAAGGAAAAAGATATTAATATTTTTGGAGAAGTTTAAATAAAAAATTTAAAATCTAGAGAAGTCAATCTCAAGTCTACTTGAAGACAAATTAAAATTTGTTTTTAGAATTCTTATAGTTTCACTAGATCAATTGTTACATTAAAACACGTATAATTCCTAGGTTCAAAGTTAATTTTTAAACTATTGAAGCTAAACATGATCTGCTGAGCCTAAGTTTACTATGTTACGTACTTGTAAGACAGAAACAGCAAAATGCCTATGTAGTGTCTGTCCTCTTTACTAATATATTAAATATGTACTTATTGTACTTACTTCAACAATTTCACCTTTATTCAAAACTACAATAACATCTGCATTCTTTACAGTGCTCAATCGATGAGCTATCACTAAAACTGTTTTTCCATTCGATACAGATTCTAATGCTGATTGCACATGCATTTCAGACTCGGTATCAAGTGCACTATAAGTAAAAATTTAAAAATTTGTCATAATTATAAAGTATTTGTTTTGACGTATAGTAGTGTACTACTCTTAATCATTGATTAAATATATATATTATATGTAAAATATTAAATATATATATTATATATTTAATCAATAACTTAATAAAAGAAAATATAAAAATGGAGTTTTAAATTCATAACATTTAACAAAGAGCATAAATATAATAGTCTATAGTTTACTAGGAAACTCTTTCACTATCATTGGTAAAAATATTATAGAATTCATTTTTAGAGTTTTTATTTAGATTTATATTTCTACTAATAATACTTATAATAATTATTACTTTTATAACCTGTAGTTAGTATCTTGCTGAAATCGGTAGCTAATTGTTAGTAACTAGTTACTTACCTAATATAATTAAAAGTACTCTTTGTTAGTCTGTTCAAAATTAGGTCGATCTTTGGTAGCAATTAAAATGTAATGGCTGATGGGCATGACCATACAATGACACATAGAGTATTTGCCACTATCAATGGCATTGTCAAATTATACGTCTAATTACTCAACAATTTAAAGCCCCTGCCAAACTTGTCATATTTAAGGAGTTGTGTTTAATTCTTTCATTCCTTGCTGTCACAGTTCGTCTTTGTGTGTGTAGTAAATGATCATTAGTTTGTGAATAACACCCACCATACCTACATTATACAATAACATATGTGCATATGACAATTAGTAGTTAGATCAAAATATTTAAAATCAATTTGATGTGTAATAGCTATGTGTATGACAACAATTCAAATACTTTCGAAGGTTTGATTTAAAAAATGTAAAGAAGTTTGAATGTATAAACAAGATAACTTTGAATCTGGGCATTTTTAAAATTTTAGATTCTTGACAGGAATAAAATATTTAAGTTCAATCAATTTTTTCACTTTTCTTATAAAATATATTAAAATTTTATAAAAATATTGGATATATTATGCTTTGATGCAAAACAAACTTCATTATCAAATCAAAAATCTTTTCATTTTTTAAATCAAACCACTATTAAGTACCTTAATTTTTGTCAATCGCTAAGTCATTTGAATGAAAAATTAATAGCGTTTGCAGGGGTTTTAAATATAAAATGTTAAGTATTGCCACTAATAATGCAGAGTTCAAAACCTAACAAGGTGAAGTCGCACCACTGCAGAACGATTGGAATAGAAGACCGATCTCATTTTGAACAGACTATAAATTTGTGAATTTTAAATTTCATATTTATACTACATACAAAAAAAAACAGTGTTTTAGCAAACCTTGTTGCTTCATCCAATATAAGTATTGCTGGGTTTTTCAAAATAGCTCTTGCGATGGCAATTCTTTGTTTCTGTCCTCCCGAAACAGTTACACCTCGTTCCCCGACTATTGTATTATAACCATTGGGGAAAGAAGTGATAAAAGAATCAGCATTTGCTATTTTTGCAGCTTCAATAACCTAAAATATTTCAAATCACAATTTAGACTTTAATTGTGAACTCACAGACAATATTTTTTTTTCACCTCAATGTCTGTTGCTTCGGGCTTTCCATAACGTATGTTTTCTAAGATAGACATAGCAAACAGTATTGGTTCTTGATTAATTAATCCAATTACTCTCTTACGCAACCAAGTCTGATCAAGCTTTTTAATGTCTACCCCATCTATTATTATACTTCCTGAATCAACATCATAAAATCTATAAACATTACAGGGAAAAATAGTTCATTAAAAAGATACAATTGAAAAACAAAAAAGAAATATGTACCTCATGAGAAGGGCAGCAATAGTAGATTTACCATTGCCAGAAGATCCAACAACAGCAACCACTTTACCAGGAGGGAGAGTAAGATTGAAGTCTTTTAATATAACCTATTGAATCATATTCAAACAAGCCAGTTATCTTCTGAATTGAACAATGCCTTGAGGTAGGAATGTATTGAAGTTAAGGTAATAAAAATGTGGTGCCTCGATTGGAGAGATAGAACTACAGTGGACTTGATCCCCCAATTATAAATTCAGTTCTGAGTACTCAGTAATCAATTTTAGAAATATCTTGTAGGGACTTAGTTCTCTCAAAAAATACGCGCTATTTGTGCATATGAGTGACTCAGTAATCACATAATATCAGTGTTCGAGATTTTGGCTTTCAGAATCATGGATTCAAATCCCATAAATCATCTATTTTTATTCTCTAACATTCAATACAGTTGTTTTAACCACATAAGTGGACCTTAGTTATGTCAGAGTATTAATATTCATTATTCTGTTTACAGCAATGTCAATATTACTTGTTCAGGTCTCGTTGGATATGAAAATGTAATATCTTTAAATTCAATTTCTGGTTTAAAAGAATGATGTGGAATCTTAATACCCTCATTAATCAGTGTTTTGGGACTCTTGTTAATATACTGAAAAATATAAATACATACAATTAATCTAGAGTTGGAAAAATAAAAATATCAACAGTTTTAAAAATTCTGACTGGTAAATATTATACTCTCTTTAGTTTAGTAATGCCTAAATTCGCGCATGTATATTGAGCAAGAAAATTGATTGCTTTGCATGATTCTGATATTTGGTTGTTGATGGTTGGCTAATGGTACAGATCAGTGCTCACTATGGCAATAGACATGCGCGAACGCTATAGGTTTTTGCCAATCAAGTAAGCATTTTTATCTTGAATAGAATAAAGTTTACGAAGTTTAATAGCAAAAAACTGAAAAATGTTTATAGTTTACTTCAAATATTCTGGACCCTGCAGCAACACCTTTTACATAATGACCGAATAATAATGAAAATTGCCCTAATGAATGTTGAAGCATTTGGGTAACCATGAGAAAAGACATAAGCTGTCCAGGATCAAGAGCGCTGGTTGTCATAAGTTGTCCACCGAGGAATATTGTTCCCAAAACAATGCCATTGAGGAACACATTACTACTAGCCTAAAAATAAAAATAATATTTCAGAATAACAGTTTAAATGTATTAAGTTTATTAAATAGATGTACATACTTGAAAAAGACCAATACCATAACCCAACTTCTTATGCAATAATCCATTATTTTCAATTTCTGTTAAAAATCTTTCACATTCTGTAGATTCAGATGCAAAGGCACGAACAGTTCTCATATTTCCAATCACTTCTTCAGCTATAATTGTCGATTTAGTACCCTGTATACATAATAAATAAACATAATATATACATTATACATTATATAATGATTAATTTTATTTAAGTGTAAATACTTGTTCTTGAGCCAGTTTGCTAAGTTTTCTTAAAATAGAACCAAAAAATGTGCCAATAACAATTATAGTTGGTAAAATAATAGCTACAGCTCCAGTCATTTCTGGTGATGTATTATATAAAGCATATACTCCGCCAATTAACTAAATTATAAACAATAATTAAAATTAAATAATATATTGGCTATAAGAAATACATTTAAAAAAAAACTTTGAAAGAAACTTGTTTCTAACCTACGTACTTGGGTAGCATTTTTAAGACCTTGTATTATTACAAGTTTAAATGAACTTTTAAAATCTTGTACGTCAGTTGTTAACCTATGAAAAAATATTTATATATAACACATATAATGGTGTATATAATACATCATTGATTAAATACTTTAGTCAGGGACATCAAAAATGATCTCTGGCCCCTTGTTCATACCCACCATAGTAACAATTGGTCATCAACAAAGTACTACCCCGCTAACTGTTAAGTTTATATTCTCAGTGATTTGACAACTACTATCAAAAAACTACCACTTGGCTCATGATGATTAGAGTTAATTTTTTGTGTCCCAGACTATAGTATTTATAATCAATGATAATATAATTTTAGGATTAATAATAATTACAAAATCTGTTTTCCATAAGTATTAAGATTGGGTTCAAAATATTTTAAAAACATAAAATGCACGATAATAATAGAATACTACCATGAATTTCCTTACTAATTTAATATAGTACCCTTTATGTAAAAAACGTTTTGGTATTTTTTATTCTTAAACAAAAAATGTTTGAATTCAATATAATATGTATCAATTTTCATTTAGTAGTTAATTTACCTTTGTAAAATATCTCCTGTACGAGTTTTATCAAAAAACTCTAGCTCTTGTTGAAGTATAGATGAAAAAAGATTATATCTCATACGTATAGCAACATTTTCTCCAACTTTTGACAACATGCTTATACATATGAATGTTGATAGACCCTAAACAAAATATTGTTTAAAAATAAATATTGTTTTAAACTAAAATATTTAGCTATAATTTTACCTGCATTATGTAAAGCGCTAACAGTTTTGACAATGGATCACTAAGTTTTTTAAAATCAAATGGTACTCCATCTCTAGCAAACTGAAGTATAGTATTTATAACATGCTGTAGGTTGATTGGAATACTTAAATTGCACAGAGCAACAATGAATGCAGTCTGAAAATGAATAAAATAATAAATCATTAAAAAACCTAAGGTCTTTAATCATGTGGCTATTATAACACTTAATACAAGTAATAAAATTGAGTAGAATAATGTAGCAACAGTCTCTTTTATTGCATAGCCATAGTCATAACTCATTACTAATTAATATACTTACAGCAATAGCAGCTATTAAATTTAATAAATCTGGTGACAAATAAGACAACAACTTATTCCAATCAAAATGGTTGTTAGATGTTGATTCTAGTTCTATATGTTGACAATGAACTATATTACTTCCGTTAAGAAAATATTTACATCCAATATAGCCTACAGATCCAATAAGCATCCATCTTGGATTGAATTTACTTAAATTGATTGGTGATACTGGAATTGGTTTTTTACTTGTTGCATTTTTGATGAGGGATGAATAACTCTTAGTTGGTTGTCTATGACAAAATAAAAATTAATACTTATAGTTTAATAATTTAAGTAATTAAATACTTAGAATACCCCTAAAATATTAGAATGCCAAGTTAAATAAGCTCCAGAACTTAAAAATAAAAAAAATAATGAACTGGTTGTCGGCTGGCTTTGTTATTTGTTCTAGGATCAGTGCCAATATTTTACATATTTATGTTTAACTTAACCTGAACCAAAACATAAGAGGTACAAATAGGTACAAAATTTTTAGTAAACATAGTAAATTATTAAAATTAAAATAATTGAATTAATATTATTATTTTATTTATTAGTAATACTTATTTAATAATTAATATTCTTCTTATAAAAACCTCTTTTATGAACACATTTATACTAGTAAAACCATACTCAGTTATTTATTAATATTTTATAGATATAAACCCTACCTCTATTTGTAACGTACTTACCTAGTAATGAAGGAACGTAGTGTTGACAAATTGACCGGTTTAGTACAAAATAAACGTAACATGGCAGTATGATTGAAAGAAATTAAAAATGAACCAACCTAAACGCCACCTTGATTTTTTATAATTAATATTAATAAGGTCAACTTGTTCTGTGGTAATGTTGAAGTTTGAACTTCAGAGTTCAGATTTATGCCATCATCATAATCTTGATATTCTTCGACCATAATACATAAAAAATTCATTTTTCAAATATCTGATAATACTATCAATTTTTCGCAAGTGCGATACCATAATAACAACACGTGTTCAGTTATTATCAGTTCCGGTACTGTGTTCCATTTTTCATTATTGATTTTGCCGCCAAAATATTTGTTACCTATGTCTTATACGCCTTATACCTAAATGAATTGTTGTGATAGTTTTATAGTGCTATAATAGATTGCATTTTAATTTTTGGTTTTGTATGAATACCTCCTGAATTATTATAATATAGGAGTTATCATAATATAAAATATATTTCTGTGACTCTTAACTACACTTCAATAATTGTCATCCAACATGTCTAGAGGAGACATACAATACTCAACAAAATATGAAGACAATATGTATATTTACAGGTATGCCCATTTAATGTAATGTAGTCTTTCAGTCTTTGACTGTTCTTGTATCAATTCCTGTTTAAATGACCTTTGACTTTGACAACATTTATGTTAGACACGTAATCTTACCAGAAGACATGGCCAAACTCTTACCTAAGACTCATTTGATGACTGAAACTGAGTGGCGAAATCTTGGCATTCAGATGACATCTGGCTGGATGCATTACATGAGATATGATCCAGGTATGCATAATTAGCTATTTGATTATTGATTCTATTTGTTTTTAATAAATAAGACATGACTTAACAACAATATAGTTTTACATAATATGATAATATGATATATTTTAATTTCATCTTTTTTTTAAAAAAAAAGATTATGAAGTACGAACTCATATAAAATAAATAACATGTACTAAAATACCTATAGAACTAGGTAGATATATTATACTTTCTAATTTTTACCGTTAGAAAAAAATGGTTTAGAGTGCTACAGAATTGTTAAAAACAAATTGAATAATTATTTATGCATTTCAGGAGATTACAATTACAATTGAATAATATGGATTTTGTATAAAAAAAAATGTATAGGGATAAATTTAATTGATGATCATAGATATCAATTTGATTATTAAAGTGTCATTAAAAAAAATATACATTTATAAAGGTTAAAGTAGTTTTTCTTTTTTAAAACATAATTCAGTTAAACAACATAAATTATTGAGTTAACATAAAAAAATTAGCATTATTTATTTAACAAATTAAAATAAACATATCAAATATTGTGCGAAATTTCTTTTTGAATAAATATAATATTATAATCAACGGGTTGTTGATTTTTTTTATTAATACTTTAAAAGTAACCATAATTTTTTGACCAATTAAATAATATAATAATATTATATTATATTATATAATGCAAACATTTTAAAATTATATTTATGTTAAAATCAGTCTTTAATTTTGAAATATTAAAAATTTCTTACCAAAGAAAATAATTGTTTGTGTTGAACAAAAAGTAACATTTCTATACAATTTCCTATGAAATAGGTATGCTGAAATATGCCAAACTCTTATAATATGACTACCTAAAATAATATTATGCTCTCATATGCTAATCATACGTTCTTAGTTAAACAAATTGTTGACATTTCTTACTCCTGTCAAACTACATACTCTTAAACAATAAAATCTGGGCTCTAAAAAATTGTACCGAATATTTCATTGAAATACTTTGCATATTTGTTTATTTTATTACCTATATTTAAATATTTTATTGTCTTTTGTTCAAGATTATTGATGTTGACCATGTATTACAATTATCAAATTGTATTATTTAGTATATACATATCTTATATTACCATATTATTTTGTTTCAGAACCTCATATAGTGCCATTTAGACGACTTAAAATAGCAATAGATTCACAGATTACTCAATAAAGTGATAACTAAGTATAATGAGTTGTAATTTTAACTATTATGTATTTATATAAATAAGACAATTTCACAAATAATGTTTATAATTATACAATTTTAATATTTTGTTCAAATGTTTTATATTTTATTTTTTATTTCCTGAATATATATTTATAAAATTAATTTTTATTTTATATTTATAGATTGAAATAATATCAACTTATCTTATCTATTTATATTTTATTTAAAAATGTAAAATAACTTTATTCTATATCATATAAGATATTATTTCTTAATAACTTTAATAAAGATTTCTATTCAAAACAATAATAATGAATTGTTTTGTGTGATGTATTTGAAGTATAACAAATGTATTTGATGTCAAAATTGACATTTAAAGTGTTGAACATAATTAATTTTACATCAATATTTATGTTGTTGTGACAGAAAAGTGAAAACAAAAAATTAATACCTGTGATAAGTGATAACATTACAGCATAATAATTTTTGATGTACAACATTACTGAAATACATAAACATAACAATACCTATGTATATTATGGTTAGAGTAATAGAAAGGACATTTAGAAAATAAGTGGATTTTGTTATTTGTTAGTTTCTTGTGAAGTTGTGAAAACAGTTAAAGTATTGGTTTACTAGTTTTTTGAATGTTTGGAAATATAGGTTATTGTGTACATTTAGATAAAAAACATATCACGGGCAACCAGTAATTAGTCGCTGATTAATTGACTTAAATGCTTGCAGTGGGCAAAATGTTTGCTGATTTTGCTTGACCCCAGATTTTCATGCCATATGTATAGATGCAATTATAATTGCTGTATAGATAAGTATTTTGTTTTTGGGGCTAAGTTTAGACTTGAGGATTCGGGCGGGGAAAGTGAAAGCGTGTGTTGCTTTGTTTTCTTTTATTTTTTGTTTGATATTTCCAGGTGTGTCTTTTACCAATAGTTATTCCAAAGGACCAAGGCCCAAGGGGTTATTGTTTAAAAATAGTGGAGGACATTCTTTTTTGTTTAAGGTGAAGTTGACTTTGGAAGATTTTGCATCATTTAGTGATAAATCTATGTTTTCAGATTTTTCAATCTAAAGATTTAAAGTAATAGAGTAACTGTTATAAAGAGGCAATAGCATACAATTTTGAAAATGTCAATCTTTATAGTAAAATAAAACGATATACCTATTTATAAAAAAAAAAATAACCAAAATTGTTATTATTCATTTAAATACCTATCCAATTTCCTAGAAAATTAAACTTAAAAAATATATAAAAAAGAATTGTACTCAGGTATATGTATAAATATAATATATATATATAATTTGATTTTTCTGTTTCAGTAAAAATAATTTATCTCTGAGAAACTTTGATAACATTTCAAGCCTTAGTTTAAAAATTTTAAATCTTATACATTTTCAACTTCTATTTAATTAGCGGATATTTTATTAATAATTTAATTAATTTTGTTATAATGTGAATTTCAAACACTTATAAGTATTAATTGAGCCTATGTTTTTAATATTTTTAAATTTCTATAAGAACAAAGAATGAGGAATCTTGCATTATATTTTTAAGCATTTTGACAGAGCCTAAAAATATTTATTAATACCTACAAAAAATTTTTTTTTTAAATCGAAAATTGTAAATGTTTATGTGTAAATGGGTGGCTACAATAGCCCGGAAAGTAATTATACTGAATGTACAATCCCGGAATTTAATATCCCAGACCCTAATATTCTGGAACGTAATATTACGGAATTTAAATGCCCGTAACGATATAAGTCCGGAAACTAAATTTCCGGACAATTAAGTGCTACCGAATAAATTAATTTGAAATTTGTCTGAATAGGTATTTTAAATTTATTGAGTATAGAAAATAACAATTAAAGTAACAATGATGGAATGTTTCTAGTCTTATACTAGGTATTGAAATGTTTTGACTTTAAAGTAATAACAAAACAATACAGGTTGTAGGCAAATAACTTGGTTCTTGGTGTGGCGCGATATCTACACTTAGTTGGGTACGCGCTCTTGAGTGTGTACACCGGCCGGTGTTGCTAGCTTCTGGATGGGTAACCAAACAGATTGCGAGCATACTATTTGCGTCCCAAAATATTATAATCAGTAGGCGAGTTGCGTCCCGCGAAAAAAGATTCAAAAATGGTCATAGCCTATTTGCGTCCTGGTATACCTTTTTTATAATCTAATTGCGTCTCGATTATATCGATATAATCGATATCAAAAATCAAAATGTTATTAAAAAGAATACATTGATGTTTACTTTAATTTAATAGAAGTATAAGTAATAACCATATGTTTTACATTTTGTCATAATAATAATACTTTTAGTTCAGCTCAAATATAATTCAAAATTATAATATAATATAAAAATGTTGCCATGATAAATGATAATAATATTATGTAGTATACTTATTTATGTATACTTTAATACTTAAAATTGGTTGAAATTTAAATGAATCGCTTGTAATACAATTTAATGGTAAAATTTCGTTTTTTTTAAAACTTTCCATTTTTTTTTTAAAGTATTCTAATTTTAAATGTTTCTTTTCTGTAATTTTTTTTGTATTATTTATGCTATTAATTAAGATGTAATATGTATTAATCTGGAATGATTTTAAGACGTCAATGAATTATAAAATATGCTGATGACTAGAATAAAAATATGAATTAAATTTTCAGTGAAAAGCTACTCACATGCATATTTGTTGTTCTTTGTATGCTATTTGAACATTCAGACAAAAAATGAGTAGGGAATTTAGAATTTTCGGAAATATAGTTATACTATATACTAATCCACTAACTACTACTATCCCGCCATGAAGTGTTATTATTGAATAACTCCTTCAATCAAGCCAACCATGACCGGTGACCTACTATGTATTGTGCTTAATGTAAATATTTTTATACAGATTGTACAAATTAAATAAATATGTAAAAAAAAAAAAATACAAAGTCGGTAAATTCTTTACAACCGGTTGGAGCAATGGCTATAAGATCAAACACAAACACTTTACTCACTTTTTCAGGAGGTTAAAAAGGTAGTCCAAAAAATCTCTTTCAAAATGTACCGAATTCCGTATATTTTGTCTTAATGATTATAGAAACCAATAGCTTGAATTTTTTGCCACCAGTAATTTTTATCGCAGAACCGAACTGTCGCCATCCCACAAATAGTGAGGTTTATTATATAATACAGTTTGTCGATTTTAGTGACAAGTTAATATCAATTTTAGTGACTTTAGTAGATAATATCGATAGTAATTATATAGCCGACTTGGGTCTCCAAAATTTGACCCAAGTTACCGGTTAAATTTACTACCTGGAAAATATACCTTTTTTTGGGACGCAAGTAACATGTAGCCCCTATAATTACATCCTTGCCACACATAAACAAACACTTGTTACAACCCTACCAAGACAAAAACCTTCTACAAATAATACATGAAATTACCGAACCACCCCATACCCAATGTCCCATGTTGCCACGAGTTCACCATAATAAAAAAAATAACAACAAATCGTTAGTAGGTATGTGTTAGACATTTTGATTATCTAATGTTATTAAAATGAGAATTTAAAATTTAAATCACACATAAAAAATTACTTGCAAGTTGCAACTTGATTTTAATTTTAATTTCCAGGAAATCTTCTTATGAGAAAACCCGTATCAAATTATTAACTTTAAGTAGGATAATTAAAAATGTTTTGTAGGTAGTACAAAATCATTTTCGAAGATCTTGATGAATTTCGTAAAAAAATTGAACTTTGAATACTAACTTAGGTACCTGTATAAAAGATTTTGACTAAGATTTTTTTATTTGCTGTAAAAAAAATAACCGGGAATCCTAGTATTATATTTTAAAGACTGCATACATTCAAACAAAAATGTTTTTATGCAATATACAATAGGTATTAGGTACCTGTAATTAAATAAAAAACCAAAAAAGTCTGTTTCCTAATGTAAATATGAATGTATTTATATTTAATATACATAGTTTGAATTGGTGAGTTTTCAAAATCACTTAAATTATTTTTTGTATTGCTTATGGCCCATAGGTCTATAGGTGTTATGAAATCAATGCAATCGATCAGAAAAATATTCAAATGTTTAAAAGTCTTTGCACCAATAATAAGAATACAATTTCTATTCAAATAAGCTCAATAGCCGATGATTACAAACAAAATACAAATACATGATTTTTTTGGCCAACGTGTCGTTGTCAATGGCATAAAAGAAGATTGGTGTAATCTTCTTCTTTGGCTTTCTACAGGCGTTTCAGACCTTTGCCGCAATAACTATTTAACTCCACTTTTCTCTATCTATTGCCGTTTCTTCCCCAATAATGCTAGGTTCGTTATATAGGTCTTCTAAGTTTTTATTGCTACATACTTCATAATCTCCTTCATTGTTTCTGACTGGGCCGAATATCTTCCTCAAGATTGGTGTTGTCAACAAATAAAATAAGAATTCAAATAAATACATAGGCGTAGAGTGTATTGAAATCACTAAAAAATAAATTTACTAAGCACAAAAAAAAAAGAAAAAGAATTTAGAATGGAGTGTTTGGTCAAATAAATTCTATATTATATGAAACCCTTCAGTCTCCACTTTGTTTTTATTCTTTTCATAACAATTATCTGTATATACTATCTACTTGGGAAAAACAACCTTCGGTTGCAATGTACATATTTTGTATTCTACGTGACAATTCGTTTCGGTGTTTTTCGAGGACTAAATATATAAATACAACCCAACAATACACGGGGCACGAATTTAATATAATTTATGGTGGTACGCGCCATATGGTGTGTTGTTATACTACTTATACTGTGTAAGGGGGTTGAGGGCGTAAAAACGGCATGCCAGATTACTTCAATATAATATAATTATATTAGGTACTATTTATTATACAGACAGAGAACGAAAAGCAATACAATAAAGTATAAATTGACACAGGACTGGGATCGACCTTCGTCCAATATCTATCCTTTTATCTTGGCCTCCTGCGGCTGACTATATTCTCTGTGTAGGTGGCGTATTGTTACAGGTCGTGGCGTCGTGATGGCGGTTGTGATTGTTGCGCAGTTGTT